AAAATTATTCAGATACAATCTACTCAATTAGGACAAAAGCTTCAAATAAATGAGAATTTAATCTTACAAATTAAGATATTTTTTTCAAAGAGCAAATGAAAAATTTTTTGAATAAATGACTCGAACTCGTCCAGCCCTGGAACTCACATAGGTTGCTACACACAATAGAAGTTTCTGTTTAAAACATTCCAATGAGTATTTTAAACAAATGAATTCTCTTTGAAGACACTAATGTAGACTTGAAGTTATTATGTTACAATAATCAAATGAGACAGATTGCTGCAGTTTATCATTCTCTTCTTTTTTTGTCTCCAGAAAACTTTGAGATCCATAATATTAATGAATAGACTTGGCATTGTATTATAGAAATGTATTTCATATTAAAATAAATCTTCATATGTACAATAAAATTATGATTAAAACAAAACTTCTTTACTTTTTATTAAGGTCCTATGCAATTAAAACGGCTTATTTCGATAGTCATCATATAGTATTTATGTCGACCCAGATGTTCAGACTTAAAACTTGTCTTTTTGCTAATAATCATTGACTTCACCTTTTTTTTATCATTCTTCCGTGTATTTTTCAATTTCAACGAGAGGTAACTAACATTTTCTATCTATTCTCTTCTTACTGCATACAAAAAAGGATTCATGCATTTGATTAATAAATATTAAATGAACGTTATTTATGAACTCTCTGTGTTCAATAGATGTCATACAAATACAATTCGAATTATATAATCATACTTTTATTTGTACCAAATCGATCGTGAAAATAATGATGTAATCAAAGTTTTCATTGATAAAATGTTATTCTTATTTATCGAAATGTTCATTTAATTGAAAATAAAAAATGATTATAAAATATAAAAATTATCTTTCAGTGATTGGTTAATAATACTTAAACAAACAAAGGATTGTATTCTTTAATTGAAAGTCTTTATAAGGATTGATTCGTATGCCATATTCATTTATTTTTATATTTCTTGTTTTCATATTATTATTATTATTATTTGAATTTCATTTGAATATAATTACTCTATATAAAATATATTATTTCGTAGATTTTTTTTCTCTTTATTGATCATCTTCATTAATTGTTTTTCATCAAAAATGACAGCAACATCAAATCCAAATTCAGACGAAGAACAATTATTTCTTGCTACGCTTCAAGAATGTTTACAGGCTGATAATGAAAAACGTACCGCTGCTGAGGTTAATATATATATATTTTGAATTTTTATTTTTATATAATAGTTTTTCTTCTTATTAGCAAATTTATCAAGATATAGTCCATGAAAAAAAGGCTATTTTACTTTTGTCTACATTACGTAATACAACAATAAATGGACCAGTAAGATAAAATAAATAGAGATCTGCATTGAAGTCATTTTTAGGAGCGATCGGATAAGTTTTTATTCTTTAATATCTATTGTACAAATTGGTGTATTTCCTCAGGACTTTACAAAGATGGAAAAAAGTCGAACTTAAGGTTAACTTTGACTTCTTCTCATCGGCGGTGACCTCAATGAAACACTAATCGAGTTCCGAAAAAATATCAGTTTATACAATTCTATATCAAAGAATAAAAACTTAAAATTGAAAAAACCATCTTTTATTAAATCTGATTTATTAATGAGATATTTAGTTAACTTCAATGCAGATTTCTAAAAATAAAAGAGAAATTTCTATAAAACTAATATCTTTTTTGTTTTGTCTAAATTAAGATTCGTTCATTTGCTGCTGTTATGCTTCGACGTTTATTTCAAACAGAATTTGAAAATTTTTGGTCAAAATATTCACTTGATCAACAAACGGCTGTAAAAAAAGAATTAATCGCTCGAATAACACAATTAGATGATGATGAAACTATTCGAAAAAAAGTTTGTTATATTGCTGCTGAATTAGCTAAAAATTTAATGGGTATAAAACAAACAAAATTTTTTTTTTTTTTATTATTACAAAAAATACTTTTTTCTTCAATTAAAGATGAAAATGATCAATCACAATGGCCTGAAATTATGGAATTTCTTTTTCAATCTGCTAATTCATCACATAGTCCATTAAAAGAATCTGCTTTAATTATTTTCGAGTAAATTTATTCATTTAAAAAGAAAAAATCTTAGAGATAAAAGAAAAACAATGATTCTTTTTTAGAGCTTTTCCTGGTATATTTGGAAATCAAGCTGAACAATTAACACAAATAATTCATCAAATTTTTTTAAATTGTTTAAATGATCAAGATACAAAAGTTCGTTATACAGCAGCACAAGCTCTTGCTGCTTATCTTAAACATAATTGTGAAAATACACAATTACTTAATATTTATCGAGATTGTTTACCACCTCTTATTTCGGTATGTTATTATTATTATTAAAATATATTTTATTTTATATCTAACACGATCACTTTCAAAAAAATTTTATTTCATAAAAAAGAAGTTAATTTAAATAATATATCTCTTTAGTCTTTCTCATTCTCTATTTTCAAGGCTTGTGAAATCATACGTCATTATTCAATACTTGAATCGCTCGATCATATGAAAAGCAGTTACGCATGATTGATTGATATTATCAGTGTACTGTACTACATATCCCCAACGTATACCGAAAAGAACACGCTTCGATTACTTTTTATAAATGTAAATCTTACTCGAGTCAGGATGAACTCCGATCGTCAACAAGTGTTCACATAAATAATAGTTGAACGTAATTGATGGATATTATTAGCATGTTCTACTTGTCTTCACTGAGATGAAAGCAGTAGGAACTTCAGTCTTCACTAGAGGATATCTAGAAGATGATCAGTTTCATCTAATATTGTGTAACGTGCACGAAATTTTTTAAAGTCTGTTTTTAGGAGAAAAAAATCGAAATACTTGATTACCCTGATTTTTCAGAAAACCACTTAACTTTCGAAAGGAGATCAATAATTTTTGTTTCTTCTCTTAGCATCTCAAAGCTGCTTTTCTTTTCATATACCATCGAAAACTGTCTATAACAAGTCAACTTAAGTTGACATGTTATAGACAGTTTTGCATGCTATATGAGAAAAAAAGTAGCATTGAGATGTTAAGAGAAGAAGAAACAAAAACTATTTTGTCTCCTTTCAAAAGCTAAGCTGTTTTCTGAAAAATCAGGATAACCAAGTATTTTGATTTTTCTCGTAAAAACTTAATTGAAAATTAAAAGAAAAGAGATTTTTCAATGCATTTTTGCTCGCTCTATCCAACCATAGTGAAATAAAAAAAATATTTAAATTTTGCTCAATTTTCGAATTAGTTGCACTTTACTTATAAGAGTATGATCAAACTAACTGGATCTTAAGTGTTTGTGTCAGAGTTAATAACGAAATGAGAAAGCATTTTGAATAAATAAAAATAATTTTGTATGATTTTAAAATAAATTTTGATTTGAATATTTCGTTTCTTTTTAGACAGTAACACATAGTTTGGCCAATTCGGATGATGATACAGTTCTAAAAGCATTAATTGATATTGCAGAAAATGTAGCAAAATATCTTCGACCTGCAATTGATGATGTTTTTAATTTATGTCTTCAAGTTTGAATTATTTTATTTGTTTTTGTTTTCTTTTAAATAATTTATTTTTCTTTCAATAGACAATGCAACAAAAAGATGAATTTGAAGAATCACGTCGTCATTTAGCACTTGAAGTACTTGTTACTTTATCGGAAACAGCAAGTGCAATGGTTCGAAAAATTGCTAAGAAATATATGAATAGACTTGGTAAGTAAAACCATAAATTAAAAAAAACAAATAATGTCTTACGTTTGTTTTTTTTTAATAATTAAGTTCCTCAATTACTGGAAATGATGGTTGATTTGGAAGATGATCCAGAATGGTCAATTAAAGATACAATTGAAGATGAAGAAGATGACAGGTAAAAAATTCTTTTTTTTTTCTCTTTGATATATAATATAATTAATAAACATTTATGTAATATATAGCAATGCTGTTGTTGGTGAAAGTTCATTGGATCGTCTTGCTTGTGCACTTGGTGGAAAAACTATGCTTAGTTATATATTAACGACTGTTCAAACAATGCTTCAAAATCGTCAGTAATCAATAATCTATAAGATGATTAAAAAACAAGAAAAACTAAATTGAAAATTATTTTCTAGCTGATTGGCGTTATCGTCATGCTGGTTTAATGGCAATATCAGCTACTGGTGAAGGTTGTCATAAAGAAATGTCTGTTTTACTTGATGATCTTGTTAATGGTATATTGGTTTTTCTCAAAGATTCGGTATTATTATTATTATTTGATATATTTTTTCAAAACATATCTTTATTTTTTATTTAGCATCCACGTGTTCGATATGCAGCTTGTAATGCATTAGGACAAATGTCAACAGATTTTCAAGGAACATTTCAAAAAAAATTTCATTCAAACGTAATTCCTGGTCTTCTTTCAATACTTGATGATCATGAAAATCCACGAACACAAGCTCATGGTGGTGCTGCTTTAGTTAATTTTTCTGAAGATTGTCCATCACGTTTACTTATTGAATATTTACCACAAATTATTGATAAATTAGAACAAGTTTTAAATCGAAAATATCAAGAAGTAATTCTTTTTTTTTTTTTTTATTAATTTCATTAAAAATTTATTTAAATTTTATTAAGCTTGTTCAACATAATCGTAAATTAGTTCTTGAACAAATTGTAACAACACTTGCAGCTATTGCTGATACAGTTGCACAAGATTTTTCACCTTATTATGATCGGTTAGTTTTTTTTTTTTTTTTGAAAATAAAAGAAGTTTTTTTGTATTAAAGATTTATGCCACAATTAAAATATTTATTTAAAAATGCAATTACACCTGATTATCGAATGTTACGTGGTAAAACAATGGAATGTATTAGTTTAATTGGTTTAGCTGTTGGCAAAGAAAAAGTTTCTATTTGTCAATATTAAAAAAAAAACAAAAAAAATCATTTTTTCCTTTCGTTTTAGTTTATAAATGATTGTTATGAAATAATGCAAGAATTAGTTAAAAGTCAAGTTGATTTTGAAAATTTAGGAAATGATGATCCACAAGTATCATATTTAATTGGTGCTTGGACACGTATATGTAAAATATTAGGAAAAGATTTTGAACAATATTTACCGATTGTTATGGGATCTGTTCTTAAAGCAGCTGCATTTAAACCTGAAGTAACTGTAATTAATGATGGAGATAATGATATTGAAGAAGATGAAAATTGGGAAGTACTTAATGTTGGTGATCAAGTATGATATTAACTTTTACAAAAATTTCATTTTCAAATTTTCGTTTTTTTTTTTGTTTAAAGGCTTTTGGAATAAAAACAACAGGTCTTGAAGAAAAAGCAAGTGCTTGTTCAATGCTTGTTTGTTATGCTAAAGAATTAAAAGAAGGTTTTGTTAATTATGTTGAAGAAACAACTAAATTAATGGTTCCACTTCTACGATTTTATTTTCATGAAGGTTTTTTTTCTTTTTTTTTTTGATTTATTTTTATTATTAAAACATAAAAAATTTGATATAGGTGTTCGTGCTGCAGCTGCTGAATCTTTACCACATTTACTTGATTGTGCAAAATTACGTGGTGATGATTATGTTCGTCAAATGTGGCAATATATGAATAAAGAATTATTTAAAGCAATTGAAATTGAACCTGATCATGAAGTACTTGGAGAATTATTTTCATCATTAGGCAAAGTAATAAGAAAAAAAAAATTTTTCTTAACTTAAATAATTTTTTGTTTTTTGTTTCTGTTATTTAGTGTATTGAAACATTAGGTGTATCAAGTTTAACATCAGATGAATTAAAAGAATTAACAACAATACTTGATAATCATCTTAAAAAACATTTTGAACGTTCAAATGAACGTATTGAAAAACGACGTGATGAAGATTATGATGAAGAAACTGAAGAAGAAATGGTTGAAGAAGATGATTTTGATTCATATATATTAAATCGTTTATCGGATATAATTCATTCATTATTAGTAACATATACAGATTCATATTTAGTTTATTTTGATACATTAGTACCACATTTTTATGCTCTTATACAACCAACACGTTCAATATCAGATCGTCAATGGGCATTATGTGTATTTGATGATGTTATACAATTTACTGGTACACATTCACATCGTTATACACAATTTTTTCTTTCACCTATGGCTGAAAGTCTTGCTGATCCAGCAGCTGAAGTAAATTTTTAATATATTTTGAAAAAGTATTTTTTATTATTTTTTTTAAAGATTCGTCAAGCTGCTGCTTATGGATTTGGTGTAATGGGTATGAATGGTGGTCCTGTTTATGCACGTGCATGTGCTGAAGCATTACCACGTTTATTTACAATGATAAGTGCATCGAATAGTCGTATACCTGAAAATAATACAGCAACTGAAAATGCAATTAGTGCTGTTACAAAAATATTAAAATATAATAATTCATGTGTTGATAATCTTGATAAAGTAAAAGATTTGTTTTTGTTTTTTTATAAAGATAATTATGTTTCATTTTTCTCTATAGCTTCATCAAGTTTGGTTGTCTTGGCTTCCAATTCATGAAGATACTGAAGAAACACCTTATGTTTATGGTTATTTATGTGATTTGATTGAATCGTATGTTTAAAGAAATATTTAATGGAAATTTTCTTTTTTCTTTTTTTTTTTAAGAAATAATCCGGTGATTATTGGACAAGATAATTCCAATGTACCAAATGTGATTAAATTATTTGCAGATGCATTTGCTAAATCATCAATTGAAGTTAATTCAGTTGTTGGTCAACGTATGATACTTATTTTACGACATGTTCAAGTT